TATGGCTTCTAAATTGTGTATTGCTCCATGATATAACACGTGGAAAAAAAGGTTACAGTAACAACGGCAGTTATCGGATGCCTTTAAAAAAAAAAAGAATTACTTCCCAAAACATGTCAGACATTGTCAGTCGAATTGTTCTGTGGAGAGACAATTTGGTTGTAGCCTAATAATAACGCACTGTTGCATCATTAACGTCCCCGAAAAATATAGCGTCTTTCGGAGGTATACACAACTGTCGCCAGCTCACCTCCTCTCCTTCTGCTTTGTCCTCTGGCTTCATCTTCTTACGGGTCATGTGGCCACGGAAGCCGGCCTGGATTTTGGCGGCTGCCCTGTTGGCTTCGGGGTCATCCAGCGGGATGTCCATGATGTCCTCCTCCTCCTGGGGTCGACTATGTTCCTCCTGCTGAGAGGACCGTGTCATGATGGAACATTAAACGCCTGATTTTTCTGATGATCGCGGGGAGATGTGCGCTGTGTGGTAATGCCCGAGAGGTTAGTTAACCCAGCTCAAATTTTCTCCTCATCATATTATGAATGACCGAGTTGGCCTTTTTGCAGTGTAACGCGTCACCATTTTCTCAGTGTTGAATAGGCTTTGTCGCTATCGTCATCAGAAACAACACATCATGAGCTGTGTTCAAAAATGTGCCTTTACAGATCATACTCTTGATTGCTGCTACCAGAAAGTATTGTGGTTATAGTTTGTTGTCCGGTGTAGAATTGCACTGCATCGTTCGAAGAGTGTTTCTTATATTTTGCCTTTCCCACAACTAAAGTCACAAAGTCCTTTTTTCTTTTTCCTTTCAGATCTCATTCGGACTGAATTTGTCAGTAGATCATTCCCTTGCCCATCGCTCATCAAGTCGCACATTCAAGCAAGAACGTTTGCTATGCCAGACTGCATCTCGGTGCCAGATTGAGAAGCTTTCGTTTGTCAGCATCAACAAATGTGGTGAATGCCTCAGAGAGCGCTAAAGCTTTTCCTTCACCGACTTCAAGTTGTTCAAGTACAAGAAGATGATGATGCTCAACACCCTAAAGTTGGGAGGAGAAAAACTTTATCAATCCGCAAAGGATCCGCCGGATCAAAATTTTGATGACGCTGAGTTCCAGTGCAGCCGTCCAGATATACTTTGCCTGGCTTTGGGCCAATCCCTGCTCTGTACGACTTGGGTGGTGGTGGAAGTACCAGGCCTTCTTGTGTGTGGTTAACAAAGAACAGAAACAGTTTTGAGACACTTGCCTCGAATATGGTAAATTGTACAACACGTTGCAAAAAAAAAAAAAAAAAGCACAAAACTGCACTTGAGGCCAGTAAAACTCAGTTGGGTAGCCATGCACAAGGGACTGATCTGCAAAAATTGCAACGCCTAAACTGTCAAATGCGGATGGACTCACATCTGTTTGTCTGATACCTGAAATCAAGTGACTGTAGTTCATGTGAACCATTTTAAAACAGCTCCGTATGAAGTAAGGCGTCTCCATTAGTGAGTGAACGTGTCCTATACACAATATCACTTCATTTCTAATACGATGTCAGCATGCAACAACACACAAGCACTTTTTGCCCTTGCCGAGGCAAAATTTTTGATCTACTTCATGGTGCAAAATCTTCCTGAGGGGTTGCCAATCAGTGCATCATTGACAAGCTGATGAACAGTACTTCTGTCACTGAGAAAATGCATTTGAAAGGACAAAAGGAAGCAATTCTGAGAGAAGCGGCTAAGAAATACAAACAAAAGTTATGGTTCTGGACCCTGGCATGGAAAAAGGATGAGCCTGAAAAATGACAACAGCATCCATTTCCTTCAGTCAGCATCCAGTGTCCCCAAGGAGACGTGGTGGATGGGAGAGAAATTCTGAAAAGTGTCAGCAGCATGTCGCTGGGGCTGTTGACAACTTATGTAAACAATCATTCAAATTCTGTGGCGCAAACACCCAGAGAGCATTGCTAGAGGAAATCAGATTGCGATTTCACACAAAGCAGGCCACAAAGTGAGCCCCCCCCCCCCTCGCCACATCACGTCTGCGGTGTAACGCCCGCCAATGTACGAGGGCGACCACCCACCTGTGCAGCCAGCATTCATTAACCTCTGTGTCTGACTGCTCACTCAGCTGCCAGCTCTGAGAGAAGGAAACCACTGAGTGGGATGGTGCTGCTTATCCACACCATGTGACACAATGTGTTCAACTTCTGTGAAGCAAATCTCATGTCATCGACGTCTGATGAAAACGGCATCATTGGGCGAGCTGTTTCATGCTGTCTGACTACTCCTCTCACGAGTCCAACATACAGTCAAGCGAGGAAATAGCACACGACGACGTCAGCACAGAGCTCAGCAGCACACTAATATGTGCAAAAAAAAAAAAAAACTCAGAAAGTTAAAATGAAAATGTTACTCACATTGTGGCAGTCCATGTCTTAAACTTTCAGAGATGAGCTTGGTCTTCAGGTGGGCCTAATGTGTCACTCTCGCTCTCTATAAGTCACTCTCTGCTTATATACAGATGCCTCACTGGCTCTTACTAATAATCATTGCATGCTCAGGAACATTCGCTCACGAAGAGAGGAAGAGAGAGAGAGAAGGAGAGAGAGAGAGAGAGAGAGAGAGAAAAAGAAAAGGCTGACGTGAGTGAGGACAGGCATGCGGCGAAGAAGTCCGCCAATGAGTGAAGGGTGGACGTGTAAGTGGATGCTAAAGGCACGCCCCTAGCAGGTACCAGCACCTGTATAAAGTGTGGATATGTGCGTTATTGCAAAACAACTTCGGTTTTGGTTTCTAAGAACCCCCGAAATTACTTCTACAAAGAGACACGCCTACAAAGCTCAGTTCAAGCTACACACACACACACACACACACACACACAAACACACACACACACACATTGAGGGAGGGAGGTAGGGAGTGTGTGTGGGGCGGTCGTGGTGGTAGAAACCTCCTACAAACATGTCAGCATGTGTTCTGTCTTTTCAGCCTCATTAGGGTTGCTGTCCGACTGCGTTCGCATTCCTGATATCGACTGTTAAAATGTACATGCAACAATGTAAAGTTGCATAGCTGTCCCGGCGTCAGGCGCGCATACGAGCAAAACAAATGAGAAGAACCAATCAGCGTGCAGAAACACGCATCAAATAATCTTCTCAAACTTCCAATTCCAGCTAGTAACAGTGCAAAAATAAAACCAGCGGAGTTGCGCCGGGCAGTGTTCTAAATGTATTCAAGGCAGCGTGAGCTAACAGCCTTCTCCATCACTCTGATCCCAGCTGGTGAGGCCGCCCACACGCCACTGCCAGCCTCAGAGACAAAATGCAGGGGCAGAAAAACAGCCATTAATCTGTGTTCCATCTCTCGCACTCATTCTTCCACTGCTGCTTTGTGAAACGATTCCCACGTTAAATGAGCCTCACGCTTGAGGTCTCTCTGATGACTCCAATTCACTTTGCCTTCATCAATCAGCAAGCAGCCAAGACGAGAAGTTCTCTCTATTGTGAGGCGTTGTAAACAACCAGTCAAAGGCATACGAAAATGTAGTTTTAAGAGTACAGCGGGTTGCGCAAGTTCGTGGCATGTAAAGTTGTCAAACGGCACCAAAAAAAAAAGTGCTGGCTATTAAAGTCTAATTACTATTACACTGTATGCCGAGCAAGAAACAACATCACCGTGTCCCCTAATAATTTCATGACAAGAAAGCAGGACGAGCAGTGAGGCGTTGCCATGGCAACATTCTCAGCAACTCTTCGCACTCCACCACTGTACTCGATTGAAGGCGCACTCGCTAGTCCAGGCCAATCAGACGGGCTGGCCGAGTGCGACGGCGGCGAAAATGCTACGACGCCGACTTGGGATGATGATGATGGACGTCTCAATCAAGTTTCAATCTGTGGGCGCAGCAGCGGCGCCTCTCAACTCAGCGCCATTAGGAACTCAAGAGAATTTCGGTTATATGACCATGAGGAAGGCACTCGAAGGGCATGTTTAAATCGTGAGCCGCTGAAAAAGGATCCTCGAACCCTGCTACATATTCACGTTGTGCTCGAATGAACCAGCGTGATGTAAACACTTCATCATCTCATCAGCTCCGATACAAGTGTCCCATATTTCACGTTTACTAAACTAAAAATATTCACTTCCCCGAGCAGAAATGCATGTTTGTTTCCGTTGATTAACTGCAACCACAATGTTAAATCAAAACGGAGCATCTGATGTAAAGCATTGGTGAGCAAAGTATGGCCCAAGGGCTACTTACGGCACACACCGTACTTTATTCCAAACAACAGCGCAATTACGTTGTCAAGAGTCATGTAATATTTATTGTGTGAATTTTGAACCTTGCCCCCTAAAATTGGTTCATTAAATCCTTTCGGAATTTCTCTGTTATATTCATTTATCTAAACCAGGGTGTAGATAAATGTCAAAAACAGTGCCCATTACGTCGATCACGATCGACCGGTAGATCGCGGACTGTTCCCAAGTCGATCGCGAGGGGAATAGAGGAGAAAAAAAACCAAACAACTATTTGTGTGTCTTTGTGCATGTTCGTAATATATTTTTTGGTGTTAATGTACACTCACCCAATCATCCTATCAGTCTCATTTTCACAAAAAGTATTTAAAAAAATAAAATGAAATAAAGCAGGTAAATCTTTCACCTATGGGGGCGCGTGACCTGCGTCACCGGAAGTTATTAGCGCTCAGCAGTCTGCAAATGCAGCTTGTGATCGGAGCTGTTGCGCTATATCTTTTGTCGTTATCATTATTCTCATTCAGAGTTTGTTTCGTGTACAATTCACTGAGGGCACGGGCAAAGAATAGGAATACAGAAGCACTACTGTTTAGACTTCCGAGCCGCCACTATCTTCTAAAACAGGAGGTGTCATGCTTCTGCATACCCTGACAGAAGGAATTGAAGACACGAGCCTTACTTTTGACTTACGTCCGGGTGACGTTAGCCCTGTTAGCTTTGCTACCTCACAGCAAGTCAGTGCTCACTTGTGCTTTTACGCGATTGACTTTTTTCTTTTTTTTTTTTTAAACTGCACTTTTTCACCTTGCAGTACTTATGAGTGAACTTTATGAATTCCCATGGAAGAATTTGTGGACTCTAAGAAGAAGTTTTAATAAACGAATGCTTGAACATGATAAGTCATATTGTTATTGGAACTCTTAACTTAAAAGTAGGTTTCTTGTCAAAGAAAGTGAGTCCGTTGAATTTACAGAATACATGCACATCATGGAGCATGGTCAGGATGGTAGCACCTCTGCCTCAATTTAAGCCAGGAAAAACCCTGCAGAAAATTGCGTCCGTGGACCTAATGTGTGTGGTCGATAAGGGAAAAGCCTGTTAAAACCTGAGAAGCAAGCCAATGCATTCTAAATAGGCTGACTCAGTCACACAGCATATGACAAGAGGAGAAAAACTGGAAGCAATGTGGGTTACTAACCTCTTGAGCGTAACCACTCAGTGCACATCTCTTTCTCGATCAGAGTAAAAACATGCGTGCTGTGTCCAATCAGGCCATGGTCCTCTCAGCGGGAGGAACGGGGGGCTGGCCACAGGAGGAAGAGGACAACATCAACACCTGGGCCTTTACAGGGCAAGATCTAGGCGGGTTTCCATGATCACGTGGCCCGTAAGAAGATGGAAGCGCAAAGACAAAGCAGAAGGAGGTGGTGGACAACATAGCTCAGCATCATGTCTCAAGTGTGCAAGGTTATGGTTAAGATCATTTAATATTTAAGATCTTCAAAAACAGAGTCGAATTCAAGACTTTGTCCGTGTAGTGGGTATAAAACACCCCTGTTCAAATGCCTTTTTTTTTTCTTTGTGATAAACTATTAACTGAATGTGACTGTCTGCAGAATTAAGCCGTCACATCCAAAGTCGTGTTAATTGGATGTCAGCACACATGAAAAGTGCCTCGGATATATCCAAAGTAAAGTTCAGACCAGAAGGCATTCATTTGCTAACTCAGTTTGGGTGTTGATGATGACTGTCGGCATGGCTGAAAAAACATTCATTATTCTGTGTGAATTACAACTTTCTCCATCCACTCATATGTCATGAAGTAGGGAAAAAAATGATTTAAAGGGTATCATGCACAAATTGTGTTTTGCCAGTAACTTTGCTTATCTTGCTTACGTACTGCATACATTCACGGCCCAAGTCTAAAGCTAACTTCATCAATTTGTGCTTTTTTTGCACATTTTGTTTCTGCCAAATATGAGAATCGACCTCAAAAATCTATACAGGGGGGTTGGTGGGGGCTTACTTTTTATATCCACTGCGTGAATACCTGAAAATGACACATCACAAAAAAAACAAAACACAATTTAAAAGATATACCGGTAAATAACTAATGACCCCAACTCGAACCGGGCCTCAGAGTTGTTTTGTGTGATTAATCCAATGCATAACAGTGTGATTCTTTTAATTACCACAAAGGCTCTCCAGCAAAAGCTGATTGAATCCTCGCTCTCAAAGCGCTGATAAACGAGACACTGTTAAGCACATATTGTTAAATTAATACAACATCCCCGGTAACAAGTAATTACAATTTGAACAATCCTTCTCTCTAGGCAAGGCAAGGAAGCTTCATTTATATAGCACATTTCATACACAAGGCAACTCAATGTGCTTCTGGTATATTAAGGGTGCTGAGCGCATACGACAGACCACTCTCAAATTTAATAATCGCAAGCTTATAAAATATATGACTTTCAATTTCATGTTGATTTTATTCTTGCTTGCATACATCCAATAACATTAAAAGGAAGGCTTCATTCATTTAACACGTGTGGTTGAATAAGCAGTAACTAATTTGTTAAGCGTTGAATAGCACACAAGAGCTGAAAAGTACACCACGATATTTATATATTTCACTTTTATGGGAAGATTTTCAACACGTGTACATCCATGTTGGGCCCAACAAGACGTAACGTGTGAAATTTACTGCTGGACAATCGAAAGACATTGATCAACGAGGACAACACAAAGGAAAACCAATGTCATAATACATACCAAAAATTTGCCAGGGGTCAACCAGAAACAGCAAACAAGGTGCACACTGGCAAGTTAGGATAGGCAGGCAGTAAACATTTGCGAGACAAGGAGTCCTTTACAGTTAGAAATGAGACGGATCACGCAGTGACATTAAAAACCAACGCTGTGCCGAGTATTTTCAAAATGGCCACTGTGCTGTGCTATATAGCACTTTTCTACCTCGGGGACTTAAAGCGCTTGACACTGTTACTTCATTCACCTCCTGATGACACAGCATCAGGAGCAACTGCTCCTCAGCAATGGCCGTCTGATTGTGAATCAGTGCCAATCAAAACTGAGCATCGCTTTGTTTGTAACAACAGAATTTGTCATTGCAACCAGATTGTTCAACTGTTTTGACGATGTCCATTCGTCACTCTTGAGAACATCCATAAAACATTACCTCATCTCGTTCTAATCATTGGGTTCTGGTGCAACCTCTGGCTCGGCCCCCTCTGGAAGGTTATTCGCTGCTTCACCTAGAATAAAGAGTGGAACTCATTGTTTGTTGCATGTGCAATGACTCGCTATTCTGACAATTGCTTTCATTTAATGTACCATATTGTCCATTGTGTACAAATGCTCAAAAGTACCTTCCATTTGCTCATCGTTTGTGACATTTTGCTCTCCCTCCATTTCAGGCTCATTGTTGCCTTGCTCTTCCTGAGTGTCCACCTCTGGACCTTCATCTTCTGGCTGGTTTTCCACGTCGTTACTTTGCTCGGCCTGTGGAGTTTCCACAGAGTCCGCCTCAACCAAGGAATTTTCTGTCGGTTCAGCGACGGTGTGCAAATTTCCTTCTGCATCAGCTTCCTCATGAGGAGCCTCAGTTTCTGCTTCTTCCTCCTCAGTTGGCTTTTCAGCTTGAGCTTCACCTTCTTCTTTCTCATCGAGGGTTTCGCTTTGAGGCTGTGCTTCTTCTGTTTCTGTTGTCTCTGCTTTGGGCTTCTCCTCCTCAGCAACCTCAGAATTACCATCATCTTCAGTACCATCAACTGTGACTTCCTCCGTAGTTGTCTCTGTTTCGCCAAGATTGGCAGCTTCCATCTCAGTTTCCACCACATCGCCCCCTATAGCGTCTTCCTCGGCATCTGGGTCAGCGTCCACCCCGGCGTTCCCTTCGGCATTCTCTTCAGCATCCCCTTCAGTCATCTCCTGAGCTTCCTCCTGAGCCTTCTCTTGAGCTTCCTCCTGAGTCTTCTCTTGACCCTCCTCCTGAGCCTCTTCCTGAGCCTCCTCCTGAACCTCTTCTTGAGCCTCCTCATGAGCCTCTTCCTGAGCCTCCTCCTCAGCCTCTTTCTGAGCCTCCTCCTGAGACTCTTCTTGAGCCTCCTCCTGAGTCTTCTCTTGAGCATCCTCCTGAGCCTCTTCCTGAGCCTCCTCCTGAGCCTCTTCTTGAGCCTCCTCCTGAGCCTCTTCCTGAGCCTCTTCCTGAACCTCCTCCTGAGCCTCTTCCTGAGCCTCTTCCTGAACCTCCTCCTGAGCTACTTCCTGAGCTAATTCTATAGCCTCCTCTTGCGCCACTTCCCCAGACTCATCCTTAGCCATTTCCTCAGACGCTCCAGCTTCAGTGCTCTCTTCTCCCTGTGAGACTTCACTTGGTGTCTCAGACTGAGGTAAATCCTGGGCTTTCTCGTTTTGAGCCTCAGTTGGGTCAACTTGATCAGACGTTGCTGCTAAGACTTGAAGTTGTGTGGACTCTGATGACTGAGCAGGCACTTCTTCAGTTTGTGGCTCAGGTGTTTTTTGTCTGGGGGGGAAAAAAACAGCAAACAAATGTTGGTTTACAATTCTTTGACAGAATGGCCACTTATGGCCAGTTAATGCACAAGCTTTTTTTCTACTGGCAGGAAGGCTACAAAATGGAAATTTCCATTGAGATTAAATTTAACATTAAATCAAAATTGTCATTCTGAGGGGGAAACCCCCCGCAATAAGAGTACTTTTCAAACTTGTTCAGCAGCTCTATGGGATTCAGATCAGCTGCAATACTGGTGAGGATGAAAATGCATGAATGAAAAGCTTTATGTTTTTTTTTTGTTTGTTTTTAAAGCTAATGGTTGATTATGTATTATGATTATCTTAACGATAAACCACAATTCTCAGGTCAATGAAACAATTAGAAAATGGATGGATGGATTAATAATATGCATGGATGAACGACTTTGGGACGATATGATCGCAAAACTTCATTTCAAACATCAAGTTATTTATTTGTCTTTTATTTACCAACTTTGATTCTTTATGTTATTCAGTCTCTCTCTCTCTCTCTCTCTCTCTCAATTGGCACTTTGTTTCATACATATTGTCCCCACCATTCCTTCCTGCGCTGTCAATTAAATGAGATTAGATAACATCCATTCAGTCGTTAAACGTGTCAAAAGGCAGCAAACGCAGAAATGCATTATTGGGACAAAATGTCAACTCACTCAGAAATGGGAACTTCTGTTTCAGGTACCGCTTGAGGAACATCCTGTCGAAGAACAATACAACGTCAAAGTTATTCTAGAAAAATTGCAGCAGGACACGGACACACAAAAAAAGCCTGATGAGCAAGATGGAAGGTGACATCAATCACAACTGGCGTTGTTTTAGCACCAACTGGCCTGAAATGTACGGTCGCTGTCAAATCTGTCCTCCAGGCTGGCAGCCCACTCAATTGGGTCCACGCCACTACCTGCAAGCCAGAACAGGTAACCACTTACAAATCGTTTAATTGTACTGCTGTGACACTGCAAGTCCAAATCTTTTTTACCTTCTCGTTGGCCGAGAAGGCGCTTGAAGTAGAGGGCGGCATATTTGGGAATGTCTCCAGGTTGGTCACGTAGAATTTCTCGAACCAGACCTTCAAGGACGGCGCCAAATCCCCGTGGGATCCTCAGGTGGGTGTTGCAGAAAGGCACCGACATTTCGACCACTCGTTTAGGTAAGAAATCCTGCAGTTCTTTTTTTTCAGGGAGGTTAACTTGCGTAAACTTTGTCCATAAAGCTAACTGGCTAGCACTCTAAAGTCATAACATATAATTGGAATGTTTGTCTCTTTATCTACTTGAGGTATACCTGTTTAAAATGTACTTATGGAAATTAAGTTTGACGACTTAGAATCACTTGTAACCTACCTCTAGTGTCTGAACGTTTATTAAAAGCGTGTCAAGACGCTATTGTTGATGGTTGTTGCTATGCAACATTCGCAACGACGGACACCGATAAGGCCCAATACTCATCCAGGCTTCATTAAAACAACAACAACAACAACAACAACAACAAAACAACATTTGCTTAAATTGGGATAATTGCAATACAGGCCATAACAAATTTCAATTGCATTTGCTTCTTGTAATGTTCTCTCCTCGAAAATAAATAATAATTGATTTCGAATTCAATAAACTTACGAAACGCAAAAAGATCCGAGAATACTGAACAACTCAAAATTTCTTTTGGCCTAGCTGAGGCTACTTTATTTTTTTGTCGTTTTATACGAATTACATGAAATGAAATACATGGCATCGATGAACAGCATGTTGACACGTGTGATTCAAACCAATACAAATGCAAAGATAGATGAGATACGTGGAATATCTACTTATGAAACAAGGCATTTGTAATCTGTCTATCTACTGTATCTATCTATGTATCTATCTATCGATCTGTCTATCTATCTATCTGTCTCTCTGTCTGTCTCCCCATCCATTTATCATTCCTTCCTCCCTTCCTCCCTCCATCCGTCTATCCATCCATCCGTCACTCCGTCAATCCAAAATAGCAGCAGTGACAGAATAAACAGGATTCATGTTTTCTCGTCTCTCTCTTCTTGCAGACGATGGCTGCCCATGTCTTCTCAAGTCAGGCGTACGTGATGACTGCGTACTCTGAGTTTGTACTCAGCTTGCGGCTGACCTCTCTGGGGTGCGGGACGTGAAGCCTGTCAACTGAGTGTGAGGACTGTATGTGACCCCTCGATTCGCATCCTCGCCACTAAAGCAGAGCAAGAGAGTGACTTTTACAATAAAATAGAACAAAAAAAGAAATCGGCCTATAATTCAGTTTAGTAGTAGTAATTGAATGGATTCCTCATTCCCACAGACAATGTCCTGTGTGTTTATTTCCAAGGCAGCGCTGATATTCTTGAAAGCAAGGTGTTCATTAAATCTAAGTATGTATGGTAGATATATTAGACAGAGAAAGTTGGCTTACCTGTTGTGAGTCGTTTGTTGCCAAGTAGCTGACCTGAGTGAGCTCTGGTGTACTGACACCTCTGACTGAAATCATGATTTCAGCATATGGAACTTCACTTTGACACTCATCGTCTGCATATAAAGAGTATATCATTTCATAAAAAGATTATCCTCGAAGTATTTTAGTGATGTTGTTGTTGGAGGGAAGATTGTACCTTGTGAGGTAACCCTTAAAGTCAGTTGTTCATTTTGGGATGCCGATGAATCTGTGCAGATTAAAGCAGTGGTAAATACCAAACTTGGGTACATTTTTACAATTTTTTTTATATAGTACACGGTTACCATTCATTGACGAGACAACAACTCGGGAATGGAGCAATGAACTGAAATTAGAGTAAAAAAGAAATAAAAATCACAAAGTCCTGATTATGGAGACCAAATACAGCCTAATATAAAAACTAACCCTGATCTGGATATATCACAATCGTCATCATCATCCCCTGAAACATGTGTCAAAATATGAATGTAAAATTCTATTCAAATTTCAGATTCATTTGGCAAATTTTATTTTGCTCATCATACTTACCATTTCTGCTGCATGGATTGTATTTCACACATGAATACATAACCAACACGGTCAGTGCCAAGGCCACGGCGAGGGAAAAGGTTGCCAAAACATGAATTTCTTTAAATTGCCATCCTTCCGGGGGAAAGAAAAAAGACTGTTGTACTTCAATGTTCACAAATATTTGATATTGTATATTTACAATAAGTGCGACAGTGATATCTCACCTCCGCTTGAATCCCTTGGCTGAACATTCGCAGGCACTGTGAATGAAAATCACAGTTTGTGGTGACAAAAGGAATGCGACATGTAAATAAGTGTATTGAATGAATTACACAGTATGTAAATTACCCATTCACCATTTTACCACTTACTATTAGTTGGCGCAACTGTGCAGGTTTGAGCACTTGTCTGGGCTGGGAAAAAAAAAATCAATTTCAAATGAAATCTAGATTTTACGTCAAATATAAATTTTGTAGTGTTTGCTACCTTTTACAAATAGAGATACAACATGGCGTGTTTTCGTTCTGAGCTGCGGGTCATCTGTTGCTCGTGTGTAACAAGTGTAATTGTACTTGAGATCTTGCACGGAAACAGTGTCCAGATGTAGAGTTACGCTGCAGGATTCGAGGCTTCGGACCCCCAGGCAGTCAGAGTTATCAGACGCTTTGCTCCAACAGCCCCGAACAAATGCATCAGAGCAGTCGTAATGGCATTTTAATGTGAGAGATTGCCCCAGTGTGACAGACTTGAACTCCAAGAGCCCCTTGGTGTCCATGCAGCATTCGGTGTCTGTAAAAAGAAGGAATGATTGTTATCGGACATAATTCGACTCTGAAAAATACAATCAGTGTTACCTTTAGCTATCCATAAATGAAACAGTGCTAAATAAAATGGAATCTTCATTGTTTGTCACATTCGATTCTGATGAGTGCTGTCTTTCAAATGCATTCAGTATGTTGCGCTCGTTTGCAACCGTGTAAAAATAAACTGGCAAGCCCTCAACCATCTCTACCACAGGAAGTGGTGTATGTAAGACTGAATGACAATAATTTTCCATTTCTTGCAGCTGTTTCATTGGAACGGAAAGTTCAGTTGAGAATGTTTGGTTGACAAGCTCGTCGTAAAAGATGATATGCCAACAATAAACCCACTCATTGATATTTAAAGGCACTAGAAGACTTTGTGAAGTAAAAAAAAAAAAAAAAAATAGCCCAAGACGAGTGATGCAATAGATGGAGATGCGTTTTACAGCACGTCTGCAGAGGCGCGGCTGATGCTCATTCAAACAACAGGATGTGTCTGATGTTAATCTTTAAATCATAAATGTGCATGGTTGAAATGGGAACATCGGTCATCAGTCTTTCTAAACGGATTGGTTTTTAATTTTTTTTATTTTATTTTGCATTTCCCATGTTTAGTTCACCTCATTGTCACCACCAAATGAATAGTCCGGACCGCATGAATAATTACAAACGCAGATAAGTCCTCTTTAGCACATACTCATGCATTATGAACACGGAGAATCCGGTTACACACCACCGCCGAACACCATTATCAACTTTGGCGGTCGCTTGGGAATCGCATTCCTGCGTTCGCGTTTCACTTTCAGCGACTGAGTGCTTCTCACTTTCATACATTAAACAGTCAAGCAGGCTCAGACCAAACAGTTCTGACTGAACATAGCCTATTTCAGTAACTGTATGGCCTAGATTGGAAATTTGGTGACAATGCATCTGTTGTGGTTTTCAGCTGTATTGATTTTTGTGCTGTGCACCCAACCTGGACTGACGTCTGGTAAGAGCAATAACTCTTAAAAGTATACGTGATATATTTTTAAGCTCTTTGAGCAAGTCACAAGTTAACTCATATGTATTTCATGTCTAATAATTTGAAGCCAGTGCAGATCTCTCCTCCACCGTACTTGTTGAGTGTCCAGAGGGAACATACTTCTCCCACCAACATTGTTTGGAGTGCCCCTCGGGTCATTTGTAAGCCACCAACCAAATAAAAAGAAACTATGCAGATAAAATGTTTTTTTTTTTTTTTTACATGGTAAAAGATTAATGACGTATGCATGTTCCACAGCTGTCCTGGAAATGTATCTGCGGCTCAGAGATGTGGTTTGGGAACATTCAATCCATATACAGGGAGGAGCAGGATTACTGACTGCAAGGTAAACCGACCTTTACCAAGATTAGGATTTCTCTGTGTCATATTTGACATCAAGAACGGGGCTCGACTGGTTAGCATGCCCGCCTCATAGTACAGAGGTCATGTGCTGGCCTTCCTGTGTGGATTTTGCATATTCTCCACACGCTTGCGTGGGATTTTTCCAGGTACTCCGGTTGACTTCCACATTCCAAAAGCATGCATGTTAGGTTAATTGAACACTCTAAATTGTCCCTAGGTGTGACTGTGAGTGTGAATGGTTGTTTTTCTATGTGTGCCCTTTGATTGGTTGGCAACCAGTTCAGGGTGCACCCCGCCTACTGCCCAAAGAAAACTCCACTCACCCTAACTTTGTGATCGTGGATGGATGGATGATTTGAGCCCCCATTAATTGTAGCGATTGAAACAAAAACCCACAGAAGACACATAATGAAGGAATATGCAGCGTACCTCAAGGAGCGATTTTAGGTTCCTCGTCGTTTAATTTATATATGCTTCCTCTTAGTGGTGTCATCAGGAGGCACAGAGTGAATTTTCTCAGCTATGCTGATGATATGCAGTTGTACGTCTCTGTCTCCTGATGATGCCAGTCCGTTGGATGCTCTTTTTAACTGTATCCTGGACATCAAATCCTGGATGGCAGTGAACTTTCTCCAGTTCAACCAGGACAGAACTGAAGTTTTAATCATCTGTCCTGAGATGTAGAGAGAGAGAGACTTTCAACTAAATTACAAACACCATCTTTACACCCTTTGCCTCAGGTAAAACTTCAAGGTGTCATTCCAGACTCTGAGCTCATTTTTATTTCATATACGTATTAAAAATATAACAAAAACAAATTTTTAATCACTTGAAGGACATAGCAAGAGTTCACCCTTTTCTCCTTCTGGCCAGCACAGAGACGTGCGAATTGATTACTGCAATGCTTTGATTTCTGGTCTTCCTAAAAAGAGCATTTCATTATCTGCAATTATTACATAATTCTGCGACACGGGTCCTGACTAAGACTGGAAGACAGGCGCATATGACATCAATTAAAAAATCTGCAATGGCTCCTTGTGTGTTTCAGGATTGATTTTCAAGTATTATTACTGATTTTCGAACGTCATAATGGTCTCGGGCAGGGGTCAGCAACCTTTTTCACTCAAAGAGCCATTTCGACCCGGTTTTCACGGTAAAAAAAATAAAACAGGTAGCCACAAACATGTACTGTAGAATACCAGTGGTGCTTATTTCTTCTATTATGAATGAGAGATTGTATTATGCCATGACTTCCCGTGGCGTGTTGCAGCCTTGTTTTCCAGGTCTGATTACGTCTGAAGACCGCGTGGAGTGCAGGCTCTGCCCAGCAGGTTTCTCCTGCTTTCCAGCCAATGGAAGCATCTCATTATGTTCACCTGGGGAACATTCTCCTGAAGGGATTCTCCAGTGTCTAACATGTCCTATAGATTCCGTTTGCACTTTTGGATTTGCGCAAAAGGTCAGAGAGATGACTATTGTGTGTTGTTACAGTATACGCATTATTCACGTAACGTAGTTTCATGTCTAACAGTGTGGGCCCGGAAAAGAGCCAAACTTCCATCACACGGAGTGTAATGACTGCCCCCCAGGCTTCTACTCTGGTGTGTGCGCTATCAACTGCCTTCAATGTCCTGCAGGTTTGGAAAAAAAAACAAAACAAAACACATTGTACAATGCATATGAGTGCACGTGAGCTACAATAGGCCACACACAAGTAAAATGCACCTCTGACTTTGCCAGGAAGTTACTGTCCAGACAGTGGGATGTCTCAGCCGCTCACATGTCCGCCTGGATCAACTTCCACACTCGGCCAGACCTCATGCCATGGATGTAATGATACCTCCTCAATGTGCCGGGGAGTCATGCCACCCCTGCGGAGGCTGTCAGACCAAAAGTCAAGTCAACCCATTGCATGTGTACCAGGCACGTACAAACACCCACAGGAGGCTTCACTCTGTATTGTTTGTCCAGTAGGTAAGTGTTCATCACTTTCATAACACAAGATTCTCATGTTCATGTCTGTAATGCAAGAAAGTATGAGTATTTTTTTTTTCAACACAGGTCATTACTGTGAAGAAGGCATCGCTATACCTTGTCCTGCAGGGAGCTATGGACCCAAAGAAGGTCTTCAGAGGCTGACAGACTGCACAATATGTCCTGCAGGTAGCAGACTAATTTGACTATTGATGAGTAATTGTGAAGGTAATTACCTCAGTCAAGTGCAATTATATGTCAGTATAATGCCAACTTAAATTATGGATTGCCACAAAACGTTTTGGAGCTTTGTTTAGCATTGTTAAAAGATGAAGTCTACGTTTGGGGTGCAAATTCAAAATACAGGAATACTTATACAATACCGTGCCGGTTTTCAGTCTTGACAGTGACCTCAGTAAGTGCTCTTTGTGTCGTGGTCAAAATCCTCTCTGTGTTCTCTGGAGAATTACAGCTGGAAATGACACGAAAAGCTAAATAGGTAAATTGGAAATATTCCATCAACATGACTGTCCTAGCACCTACCCAATCTTAAAACAACTTCATTGCAATAACAATGTATTTTGATGCTCATAAACTTAATTAGGAAATAGGTACCACAGTTGACAAGTGGTTATAGCATGTTTCCCCTCAAGGTCAAATGATTCTGGATTTGAATCTTAGCTCAGGCCTTCCCGTGTGAATATGGCATGTTCTCTCCATGCTTGCATGGGTTTTCTCCGTGTACCTTGATTGCCTCATAAACCCGAAACATGCACTTTAGGTAAATTGAAGACACAAAATAGTCCATGTGGGTGAATGTGTTTGTGCAAGACTGGTTGTCTGCATGCCAAAGTTAGCTAGAAAAGACATTATGTCAATCACGACCCTAACAAGCATCAACATTCTAGAAAATCATTGGATGGGTCATGTTATTTAATTAAAAAGTTAATTCCCCCCCCCCCCCCACACCCCAAATATTGTATATGATTGACAGGGCATTATTTTGGTGTGCAAAACCCACAAAATATTTTGTGGATGCAGTCAAATCCTATAATAATATGAAAGAAATCAGCTCATCCATTCATTATTTTATCCAGTCACATTGTTACTTGCAGTGCCAGTACATCTTCTGTCCTCTTAAAAGCGTTCTTTCTTATCCGCAAATACTTGTCTGAAGGGTTTTACTGTCTGGAAGGGACTTCAGCTCGACCCTCTCCTCAGTTCTTGTGCCCACTGGGTTTCTACTGTGAGGAGGGCACCGCCACCCCTCACGGGTCACCTTGCCCTGCTGGGACAGCAGGAGAACAAGTGGGTCAGACAAGTAGGACAGCTTGCAAAAGATGTAGCGAAGGACGATTCTGTCCGACAGGTAAGGTCAGCGAAATGAGTGACCACAGTCGCAGGAGAAATTCACAAAATAAAACAGCCGTGTAATTAAAATCTACCCTTGTGGAGGAGGAAAAGTAATTTTCTGGCTTTTAACGCTCCAGTGGGATGATGCGCGTTTGCATTGACAGGTTCCTCAGCTCCTGGCTTGCCTTGCGCTCGAGGAAGATTCTGTCCTGCTGGCACACTGGAGGAAGTCACGTGTCCCAGAGGCACCTTCACTCCTCATCAAGGAGCGATAAGTTAGTTTATATGCCATCGTCTAACACGGATAGATCATTAAATACCGGTACCTTTTAACATACACAGACATGAATTCCTTAAACAGGAACCTCGTGTTATCCCTTTAAGAAAGCGTTGCAGTTTCTTGAGATGTCAGCCCAGTTATTATATAAAAATGAATATGGGTAGTCCATATATATTCATGATGAATCATGAGGTAAATCTGAAATGTTACAGATGGACACAAAGAGGGCAGAAAAAGATTTACCTCGTACAGAAAAAAAATGACATACCAGGAATGATATGGAAAAAATAAGAGTAAAGAATTCATTATAGTGAAAGAAGTTAGAAACTGAGTAAAACTTCATGGACCATTCTCATCTGCCTTTTTCCTGCCAATATAAGCATGAATAATTCCGACAACACCAACGGTACAACCACTGCTCGTGTGTATATCCACTGAAAATGTGCTCTCCTCTTTCAGGTTTGAAGGACTGTCTCAAATGCCCGGCCGGTTTCTATTGCCCCGAGGGTACAAGTGACCCTGTGCCGTGTCTGCCGGGCTCCTTTAACCCCTTGGAGGGTCAGGACGAGTTGGCCGACTGCAGAGAGTGCCATGGGGGCAAGGCCTGCACTCAGGTGGCTCTGACGGCACCAGATGTGGACTGCATGCACGGGTGACGAGCCTCCGCATATATACAAATGAAAATCTCATCCTAGAACATATCAGAAGGCATCTGTACTCGTTCAACGGACACCTCTTGTGTGTCATATATAAAGACGACTGAAATGAAACAAACGTTTTATCTCTTGTTATTTTTCCTCCAAATTGCAGCCATGGCAATTTAAAAATTGCAATCTACTACACTGCGATGTCGGTTTGAATTGTTCAGCCAATCTCCGTGGCAAACAACAACCCTAATAATGAACACCATTGTATCCCGCCAGTGGGATACGTTTCCACTATAACATCTCCTATGAAAGCAAAATAATTTAAAAACAATGTATTCCTCACCAAAAATGTAGTAGTTTCATACTTGTCCCTGGTGTGTATCCAAATCATTTATTCAGCTTTAGTAGATTTCGCAAAACATTTATTGCCAGGTACTAAGGCAGTTACAAAGGAAACTGTTTCCATTTTATTGGAATATGCGGGATGCCTTACCTATAGCAAATGGACATAAGCCATAAACGACATATTGGAAAGTGTCCAGTAGGGCACACTAAAACTGATGGAGATTTTCATACAACCCTGGTACTGAATCTCATGAAATGTCCATTCTCTTCAGATATGTATTGCAACCATTTGTTTATAGTCTCTATGATTTCTGTTTGTTTGTTTTAATTGCAATAGGTTCGTGTGTCCTCCTGGTTCGTCTAAACCCAATGCCCCAACCAATGCGTGTCCTCCAGGGACGCTGAGCAACCGCACGGACCTCACAGATCGTTCGCAATGTCAGCAGTGTCCGGCCCGATACGCTTGTCTTCGAGGTTCATTGCTCTTGTTTAATGAAGGGAAAAAATGATTGACAAGCTTGTTAATATGGTTACATTTGGCTTCCTTTGAGGATTCACAATGACCAATAACCACTGTTTTATACTTGAAGGACATTTCGGATATATGAGTGGCCTTTATTCATTGAAAAAAAATACATTTGTGTTTGTTCATTCTCAATATTCTCTATCCCTCACATTGGTTCTTAGGAACAGGTGGTATCCACAGGCCACCTCTCTCCTGTTCTGTCGGCCATTATTGTCCACCCGGTACCAAATTCCCCACCCAGTACAAATGTCCCGTGGGCACTTGGAGTGGTCAGAGTGGATTAGAAGCTGAGATTGAATGCCAGCCGTGCCCACAGGGCTGGTACTGTTTGGTGGGATCAGGAGCGCCATCGGGCCGATGCAGCTCAGGGCACTACTGTCCAGAAGGTACACAGAAGTGCAAGACGTCATTATATTGGCTCGAAGCTGTCAATGTAAAATAGGAAATCATGAGGCATATACCTCTGTTGATGCTGCATCCTCAGGGACCGCATATGGTTCCCAGTTTCCTTGCCCGGCAGGTACATACAGCATCCACATGGGCAACAGGCAAAAAAAAGATTGCCTGCCTTGCCCCGAAGGCTCATTCTGTCTCGAAGGCACCTCCAAACCTGCACCCTGCCCCATGTAAGCACAGACTCAATATCAAATATCCAAGAGATTGGCAAGAGTTGTGTATTTACACTCCCATCCCGCCTTTCTCCAGCTCAACATTTCGCCGTGTGATAGGAGGTCAGACACTGGAGGACTGCTCTACTTGCCCCGCCGGTTATTTCTGCTCCCACTCAGCCACTGTTAACCCCAAAGTGTGTGGAGCCGGCAGCTACTCTGTAAGGGCCATCGCCCACCATCTATTGTGACTGGACTACTGATCAGTCAGAATCAGATAATGTTTGTAGTCTCATCCTGATGGTGCTATTTTTTATTTATTTATTTTTATATTTTCAGCCCCCACAGTGATACGACTCATATTAGTCACCTCCTATCTGTTGAGGAGAGAAACACATTTTATGATACAGTCAAAGCTCGACAATCCACTCTGTGTCGCTGGCTGACTCGTCCAAGTTCTAAATTTAAAACTTTTTTTCCCCATAAGTTATTTGTTCCAGAGTTCATACTGTTGCCCACATTAAATCTTTATTAACTGTGCAGGCAGGTTTTTTTTTTTAAATAAGACATTATAATATTTTCTATACTTTGCTGGTAAGAGCCACATTGTTACATGAATCACTCAAGTGAATTCTCTACAATATCAATCAAGTGCTGCTCCAGCGTGATCTGCCTTTTTCATCATGTGGAAATAAATTGAACATGTATCTGATGCGACCGTGGTCTGGACGCTCAGTTCATGCTCATTCAACCTTTAAATCATAAAAATGTGACAAATGTTACATCACCGGGAGTCAGTTGAAGCCCAAAATTGCCAAATTCTCAAAATTGCCACAAATAAGTCTGTGAGACACGGGGGGCCAGATACGACATTGTGTTTTGTGCATGTATCCGTGTCGCTTCACAGACACATTCTGTTCACGTTAACAGTCGCAATTGTTTTTGTAATGTGAACGGCGACATAAAAAGATCGGATCGATGACCCAGTGGGATATATTCCAGTCACTGGAGGCTTTACTGAAAGCGCAGATTTCATGGCTCGAACATGTAGGAATGTGTAGGCGTAAGAAAGATGCTGGATTAAGAAGCATCCATTTTTTTTGTGCAGTATTTGAGAGCGGAGACAAGGGCATGATTGTTCATCATTTTTTTGAGGCTGTATAAATATACGCTGTATAAATCATTCAAATTTGTCAGCTTTGTTGCCAACACTCGGACAGCACATATTCACATTCTGAGAAAAAATTTGTTTTCACTTACGGGATGTTTTAATTGTAATGCAGATGTAACGCATGAGGTCAAGAGCCAAAGCCTTCCCCGCGTTCAGTGGCTTTTCCTGTTCGCTGTTTATTGTCACACTTTCCTCCCCCAATGCCATCAACGCTTCTGTGGTGTCACCATATAAAAATGGAAGAAAAAAAAAGTAATCTTTTAGATGCTCACAAAACTGAAATCACTTCAGGTTTACTGTCATCACAAATGATAGTTTGAACTGGCTTAGTTTGACCTTTGAAGTGTATTTTGACAGAACATTGAAGTTGAACTCCACATTGTCATTGCTGTTTCCACCGTAGTTGTTTGCTCCCAGTGTTAGATAAGATCTGATATCTGCAACCTTCTATTTTGCTCTCCTCCTTTTGCTTTTTAAGTTGCATCTTGTGCTGTTCCTCCCCCATACCGGCGCATATCTTTAACTTCAACAACTAGATGAATCTTCCTCCATAACCTTTTTGTGTGTGCGTGCGTGTGTGTAGGACGAAGGCGCTGCAGAGTGTTCTCCGTGCTTGCCGGGCCACTTCTGCAACAACGAGACCACGAGTGAGGAAGCCATGTTAAGTGTCATGGTGTGCCCCCCGGGTTTTCTCTGCTCTCGGGGCTTAGCTCGAGACCCTCGCCGCTCGGCCACCCTCTGTCCTCGTGGCTTCTACTGCCCGGGAGGAGGCATTGTGAGTTTGATAAGTGGACATTCCGTCTTGTTATTGCTGCTTGAGACGCCTTGGCACATTTTCTTGCAGGATCCCAACCCCATTCCCTGCCCCAACGGTACTTACAGTGAACATCCTGGTTTGAGTGAGGTCAGCGAGTGCGTGTCGTGTCCTGGGGGGAAGTACTGTTATTCTCAACACCCTGAGGAGCACCCCATCACCGCACCTGTAAGACTGCAGCGATCATGCGTGTTTCACTACTTCGAGTAGGGATGGGCAACCTGGTTTGCGCACTCTGAAGTGGCCCCTTGATTCATTTTGAAGAAGAAAAAAAAATACTGGCACTTGGTGTTGGTTTGTTGTTTAGCAGTTTTGTGCTGTACTTGAATGGTAATTTCTGTGAAAAAAAAAATCTGTGTTTATTTTGCTCTTTGCTTCAAACACTTTTGTTGTTGGGTTAACACTAGTGGATCTTTTATACACGCATTGAGAAGTTATTACAAAAAATGAAATTATTATGAAGAGCACTTTTTTTTTTTTTTTACACAGATTTTTGACATATATCTTGTTTGGAAGTGCGTAGTTTGCTTGTAGCACTGATAAAAAAATTGGGGACCCCTCGACCCTTTAAGTTCCCCATCCTTGACTTAGACACAGTATGAACAAAAGTATTGGGACACCTTGCCTTCACTCCAACCGATCATTTCTAGTTAATTCCAAAAGTGTTTGATGAGGTTAAAGTAAGGACTCACCGAATTTATAGACCTTACCTTGTGCACGGAGGGGTTCCAATATCACATTCCCATGATTTTTGTTCATATAGCGTGTTTTGTGGTTATTTTTAGCTTGTTTCACAATATAATTGCCTTCTTATATATCGGCGCAAACCTGTTTCGATTTTGCAGACTGGCCTTTGCCCTGATGGGCATTATTGCCCTACCGGGACTGGGTACCTGTATTCCAACCCCTGCCAAGCTGGACAATACAGGAGCACAGCGTCTGGTCACAGTGGAGAGGTTTGTGTTTCATGCCCGTCCAGATACTTCTGTGACGGAGCAGGAGTGCACACACCCTCTCTCTGCCCTCAGGTGGGAATACAGACTATTTTATCGACTAACACAAGATTTCCAACAGTGCATGTCGCGTCCCTTTATTAGTGCCGATCTATCATTGCCTTTATAGGGTTTTTACTGTCCCGAAGGATCATCCACCGCTCAAACGTGTCCCGAGGGAAGCTATGGCTCACGCTCAGCTCTCAGTGATGAGTCTGAGTGTTCCCTTTGCGGCGCCGGTTGGCACTGCGATGGTGTAGGCCTGACAAAGCCCTCTGGCATCTGCAAAGGTGGATTCTACTGCAAAGGGGGAGCCAAGTCTGCAGTATGTTGCAACTGTGTTATGAGGTTTATAATGAGGAATAAGGATCTCGCGTTAAATCCCAATGTACAGTGCGACTGAAACTTAAGGCCTTATTTTGTGATTATTTTCAGCACTGACTGCCGTAATAATGCTCATATATTACTTTTGGCTTGCCTTGAAACAGTGTGGAGAGGGAAATATTGAGTCACACTTCTAAAATCTAAAATTATTCAGTCAGTCAGGGGTTTTCCAAGTCCCCTGAAATTACTTAAAGTACCTGTGAAGTGAAAACAAAGTTTAAAGTTGACACGGCATACATTTTCAGTTTGTCATCCTATGTCTTCATACGTTTAGGACAATTACATGCTTCCAAAAATCTGGGAAGAGTCAGACGGAGGTCACTTTTGTCTCCAAGCATGACTGTGCCCCAGTTCACAAATCAAGTTGGTATGGAAGAGCTTGAGAACCACAACCTCAACCTCTCAATCGAATGCCTTTGGGACAGCAGGTCCATCATCAATGACCTCGCAAATCTTTTTTTGGATGAATAGAGAATAATTTCCACATGCAAACTCTTAACAATAGAATATTTTATAGCTGACCTCTATTTGCTTCCGCTTCCTGTTGGTTTGATTCACACATATTCTTCGTGTTGTCCATTTGGGCATCTTTTATTGCGTCCATATCTAGACTCCATTGGACGGAAAGACGGGTGGTTTGTGCCCTCCAGGAAGTTACTGTCCACCAGCTTCCTCTTCGCCTATTCCATGTCCCCCTGGCACCTTCAGCAACAGCTTTGGTCTGGGCAGACCTGAAGATTGTGTCAGCTGTCCACCAGGGTAAGATCACCTGACATTAAAAACACACACAGGCTTTAACACGTTGTGTTTCTCTCCCTGTAAGGTTGTATTGTCTTGGTTCCAACAACACCTCCCCGTCAGGCTCTTGCTCTCCTGGATATTACTGCACTGGCGGTGCAGCTTCTCCTATTCAGCATGAAGCAGAGCAGGGTCACTACGCACTAGAAGGAGCAGTCAGGCCGGAGCCTTGTCCTCTTGGAACTTTCCAGCCAGTATGAATAAAAACTGACGTTGTGCTGATGCAGACTTAATAGATTTACCTTGTTCAGGGTTGTTTTCTGTTTTCCCCCAAAGCGCCGAGGTGCACAATCGTGCGTGCAGTGTCAAGGAGGTCAACTGTGCAACCAGACAGGCTTATCCCTGCCACCACAGTGCCCAAAGGGATCTTACTGTCCTCCAGAATCTTCTTTTCCTCACCCCTGTCCTACAGTCAGTTGAGTACATAATGTGTACAGTGAATATATAAAGTCGACACACCCCATTCAAATGCCAGGTTTTGCGATCTAAAAACAGTAACCCAAGATAAAGGTGACCTAGTTCAACCTTAGTTTCATTGGACCGGAACAAAATCTCCCAACCATGTGGGAAAATGTATGTATAGTAATTATATTTGAACTACTTTGTATAAGTGTTAAAAAAAATTAAGGTTGACATTTTGTGCCCTAATTCCCAAAAGTATGATTGCCGCAAACACCGTTCATCACCAAAGGAACACCATAGCTACAGGTGTTGTGGATGGTAGCATCGTGCTTTGGGACTTTTGCACTCATACAAAGTGGAGGGAATTATGAGCAGTTCTAAATATCTGTTCGTGTTAGCAAAAAACCTTCAGGCTTCTGATCGGAAAAGAAATGGCTCCAAGAAAGAGATTGAAAAGTGGTGAATTAGATGCACTTTAAGTAATGGCAGGTGTTTGCTGACTCTCATTGAATGTGATTGGTTGATTTGGAACACAGCCGCATCCAAGTTAAAAGTGAGCATGCACACTTATGCAACCACATTATTTCACTCATTTAGTTTTACTTTCCCTTTCCAAAAGATGGAAAAAAATGTGATCGATTTGGAAAGGTCACAAAAACAAACAAACAAACCAAAAAGCAAAAAAAATGGCATCCGAACATAGAGTTTTTATATTCACTCTATGTGTACTACTGGGACAACTCATAATCATTTTATGTACATAATATGAAATGTGATATTTCAGGGTTGGTATTCCGATGAGCCTGGTGGTGAAAATGTGCAGCATTGTCGGCCATGTGAGGCAGGATGGTTTTGCAGTAAAGCCGGCCTCTCTTCCCCCGAGGGCCTCTGTGACCCTGGACATTACTGCACCTCGGCAGCCTCCACAGCCTCTCCTGTAAGACACTGATAAGATGACTCAAGCAGTTTGCATCCTCATCCTACATAACTACTATCATGTGGTCAATTCTGGTTGATATTCAATGATATTAGATGCTTGAATTCCTCTTCTTTTTGCTGAGTATTATATGTGGCGTGTGTGGATTATGCACAGACGATAATCAACATGTTTGAATTGATGATGACGATACACTTTATTCCTTCAGGTTGAAGTGGACTCTGGGGGAGTGTGTCCCGCAGGCTACGTTTGCCCTCGCGGGACAAAACATCCTCAGCAACACCCCTGTCCAATTGGAACTTGGAGCAATAGAGTGGGGGCCCAAAACCTGTCATCCTGTCTGCCCTGCCCCCCTGGATTTTACTGTAACACAACTGGAATAATACAACCTTCCGGGACATGTGACACAGGTGGTGTACGCTCTTCAGCGTATTTAAAGAGTATTTGTAAATATTGTACATTGTCTAAAAATCTACAACTATAACACTTCACGTTATTGTATCAGTAAGCCTTTATTTGGATTATCTAAATGCTTGAAATAATAACTCATTAAATTTGAAATATACATATAATGAGACTTCTAAAATGCCAAAATAATGGTAATAATAAAAGTTCAATTAAAAGATCTTCCCATTCCCAACAATAATCTTCCTTTTATTGTCCTATAAAGATAATTTCATGCTGGCCTCTATGTGTTATGCTTGGTTAAAGAGATTAAAGTGGCCAATAAACATAATTTCAAATAAATGTTTTAAATCCTTAAATTCAGCCTACTCTGTTTTTTAGGGTTTTATTGTTCAGGGGGCGCAGTGTCTCCACAGCCCTTCGATGGTTTGACGGGGGACATTTGTCCCATTGGGCACTACTGCCTCGTGGGTTCAGCCTCGCCTACAACATGCCCTGATGGAACCTACACAAACACAACAGGTACTGAAGAAGTCAGGTGAAGAAAGCTATGATATAGAAATTAGACATGAGTTTTTAAATTCTTTTTGCTGTTTGAAGGTGCAGGAGCATGCAGAGATTGCCCTGCTGGGAGCTACTGTTTATCGGGAGAGGGCATTCAACCTTGCCCTTTAGGTCACTATTGTCTTGCGGGGCGTGTTGAGGGCATCCTGCCCTGCCCTCCTGGCACATACAACCCTCAACTGGGGTTCAGCCAAGTGGAGCAGTGCCTCATTTGTCCAGCAGGTGAGAGCATTGTCTCATTCTTGTCATTACTTTGCTGAAACAACACTGAAAAGAAGTCACCCAATGCATGTCAATCTAGAACAAGACTGTGTGATGTTTTCCATTGAAATGCGTGTCTAATGATTGTTTGTAATTGTGATTTTATTTTATTTTATTTTTTAATAACTATTGTGTTTTTGTTTTCTAATGCTTGTTAACAGGCTTTTACTGTGAGGAGTGGGGTCTCTCTCAGCCCACTGGGCCCTGCCAGGCTGGTTATTACTGCATAGCAGGTAATTCAAGTGATGTCATATCACCCCATCATACTGATGAAGTGGATCACAAATCTGAATTTACAAACATTTCAAAGGTGTGAACTTCCCAAATCCGGATGGAAATTACAGCACTGGAGTTGGAGGAGCATGTCCCAAGGGAAGATATTGTCCTGAGGGCACCAGTCTCCCGCTACCCTGTCCCCTTGGAACCTACTCAGACAGGTCAGAGAACAAGAATGTGGCACATTTCTTCGAGACTAAACATTTTGCATTACCAAATTTCTTTGTGTGTGCCTTTAGTCTTTCTGTGACAGATATCACTGGCTGCAACCCGTGTCCAGCAGGACAATTCTGTGCTACTGAAGGTCTGAGTCGACCGTCTGGAAAATGTCAGACAGGATTTTACTGTCCAGGTGGAGACTCAGCAGCCACAGGTAGCATATAGTATGACATTTTCCAAAAGACCTTCATCAACGAAAAGCATTTTAAAAAATTTATTTTTATTATTTGCTTTCCCATCAAATTGGAATTTGGAAAAAGCTCGGAAGAATACAAATCCTCATGAAAAATCAATCGCCATGCCAAATGGATTGCAATCTTAGTTAGTCCAATTTTCCGAAAAAACAAACAAGAAAACAACCACCTAAAATGTCATCATTCAGTATAACCATTTCCGATCCGCTTTATCCTCACAAGGGTCGCGGTGGGTGCTGGAGCCAATTCCAGCCATCTTCGTGCAGTAGGCGGGGGACACCCTGAACCGGTTGCCAGCCAATCGCAGGGCACACAGAGACTAACAACCATCCGCGCTCACACTCACACCTAGGGATAATTTAGAGTGTCCAATCAGCCTGCCATGCATGTTTTTGGAATGTGGGAGGAAATCGGAGTACCCGGAGAAAACCCACGCAGGCCCGAGGAGAACATGTAAACTCCACACAGGGAGGCCGCAGCCGGGATTGAACCCTCTGCACTGTGAGGTCGACGCGCTAACCACTGGAACACCGGGCCACCGGCTAACATTCCCATACATGCGAACACACTTCCGGGTGTCTCGCTCAAAATAGCCCGACTTCAGCCACATTCGTTCTGATCCGAGTTCGACAATTATGATTCGATGTTTGCCTTTCCACACCTACTAGAGTGAAGTACCCTTTCGAATCACCATCGTGCACAGCACTACCTGAAATATGGTTTGACATTAAAAAAAAAAAAAAAAAAATCTACCATCCATGTATAGTAGAAGCCAGAAAATGTATAGTCAGTGAATTGCATCAAAACAAACAAGCCCTTGGTGATGATAATGTCTACATATGTATTGAAGTTTAATGCCCAATTCATTTTCACTGCACTCTATTCACAAATTGAATATGAAGTCGGAGTGCTAATTTATATGTGGAGAGAAACACTCCAAATAGGCATTCCAAAAACAGATGCTGACAAATGCAGGCAACGTGAGGGTGTTTTGTTGACAGTGGAACATGAATTAATCCGGCTTTATCACAAGATACATCATAATAACGTCTTAACAGTCATGATCGCAGCAATTTGCCTCATCTAATTGCTTTTCACTCACCAGGCTCGGAAGGAGGTCTTTGCCCACCCGCTCATTACTGCCTAGAAGGCAGTTCAGGCCCAGCCTCCTGCCCTGCTGGATCCTACACAAATCTCACAGGACAGTCCAGGTGTTCACCCTGCCCTGCTGGCTACTACTGCCCAGAGAAGACGAGCGACTTCGCCAAGTTTCCGTGCATGCCAGGGTTCTATTGTCCAGATGGTAGGCTCATCCCAAAACATACGAAGACGTCTTTGTATTCCTGCTTGGCATATTTGTTCACTGGACAGTTCATGAGATACACCTGCACATCGAATGAGATCCAACACTAGATTGGTGTTTAGAATTGTAACTTCTCAAGGATAATAATCATTGATTCTCTGATACCGCTTTTTTTCAGATTGTGTTTCAGATTAAAAATATTTACGGTACATTTCAGTACTCACCAACACTGACGCTTAATGCAATATGTCTTCCAATTTTGATGAAATTGTCTATTTGAATCAAACTTTTTTTGACCAGAGCATAGGTTTCGCTCAAAAATAGTACCCGTACTTCTTATACAAACAGAATAATCCTACTCCACTTTCCTGGGAGGTATATGTCTTTATTAGCTTTGCCACTAAGATAATGTCAAACAAACCTTCTGCTAGGACTCCCCTTTGAATGTTAACAACTTAAAATATGCTTCATTTAGTGAATTTGTTGCATTCCCATGACTTATTGTCCTGTTATTTACACTTTATTGTGTATCCTCTAATTTGTGCTTTAATACAATTACATATTTTTGTTGTGATTCATGAAGAACATACCTAATCTTGATGTAAATCCAGATAAAGATGTCGGTCATGAAGTAGCAAAACGGACATTTTTTCACAATGACCTTCATTTCTTCGTCAATAATGCATGAACCTTCATGACAAAAACAGTTTAGTGCTTTGCCAAATTTGGCTTGTTTGGCCAAGGTGGAATTCCACATTCCATTCTAGTCTGATTTTTAAAGGTAGAATTTATGAGACAACTCTCGTATTCGATACCACTTCTTTTTTGAATTATATGCTTAATGCCGTGTCTGGTGAGTGCAAGTGAAAAATACCACAAATTAACAGTATGAAATATATTGTGTACATACTGTAGGTACAAGGCATGCCACTCAGTACCCATGTCCTCGTGGCTACTACAACCCCGAGCACATGACACAGAGTCTGGACAGCTGCCTGCCTTGCCCCCCTGGACACTACTGTGAGAAGGAGAAGCTGACTAATGTGTCTGGAAAATGCAAAGCTGGTCAGTGATGAGTTTTAGTTATTGTTGAGCTCCAATCGCAGCCAATCGCAGGGCACGCAGAGACGAACAACCATC